CCAAGCCTGTTTATGTCTCCGTCCGAAGTCTCAAACATTACAACAAAGATTCCCCTTGTGAGGACATATCTAACGCTTCGTGGTCCGTCATTAACAACTTTGAGAATGTCAATGACTGTTTAAATGCTTTTGACTTACTGTTTATTGAAATTCTGGATCAACATGCTCCAATTAGAAAGGTTAAAGTAAGAACTCGTCCAAACCCCTTCGTGACAGAAGAGATTCGAGGGCTAATAAAAACTAGAGATCGATGGAGAAAACTAGCTCGAAAGACTGGTGATCCTACTGCATGGTTTGCTTACAGGAACTGTAAACGGGATGTTAAACGAGAGTTACGTATGGCCCAAAGATCTTATGTCGAACAGGAAATTAGGAAAAACACCAAGGACACTGGCAACATGTGGAAAGTAATTCGCACTTGTATTCCAAAGAAATCTACCGGGGAAAAATGCTTCAGCAGTGACGATAAATCCGTGGCGAATAACTTCAACCAGTTTTTTACATCAGTTGGTTCAAATACTGTCACGAAAATCAAATCACTAGCTAAAGAAAACAATTACACTCCATCTCAGTTACCATTTGTCCCGCGAAGTTATACTGAGTCAGAACAGTTCACCTTCGAACCCGTAGAATGCTCCCTAGTAGAATATATTGTGAAATCAATGCCAGATAACAAAGCTCCAGGAATCGACAAAATACCGATCCGTGTCATCAAGGACTGTTTACCCGTTATTTCGCCATGGATAACCTTAATCATAAACAACTCTCTGGCGAACAATATATTCCCGAATACTTGGAAAATCGCGGAAGTAACTCCCATTCCAAAAGAAGGTGATCATGAGCTGGCGAACAATAACCGACCCATTTCCCTATTGACCAGTTCTTTCAAAAGTATGTGAGCGTGTAGCACTCCACCAGGCACCAACTGACGTCTTACCTAACCACCAATCACCGTCTCTCTGTGCATCAAAGTGGCAACAAAACCTGGCATTCAACGGAAACCTCCCTTATTCATTCCACCTACTCTATTCTAAAAGCAATTGACCAGAAGAAAGTAACAGCAGTTATTCTTTTGGACATGAGCAAAGCTTTTGACAGCATTAACCATAATATACTGCTTGCTAAATTGGAGGACGTTGGTGTCTCGTCTAGATGCCTGGGTTGGTTTAAAAGTTACCTCAGCGAGAGATACCAAGCAGTACGTATCAACTCTACTCTATCTGAGAAATTGCCAGTGGTTAGTGGTGTCCCACAGGAAGTATTCTGGGCCCGTTACTTTTCAGTATTTATGTGAATGATTTGCCGTCAGTCGCCAAAAATTGTTCATCAGAATCGTATGTTGATGACACCAAACTCTTTCTGTCCTTCCGAATCAATGACTCGAACATTGCGCTGACTGATCTAAACGAGGATTTGATTAGAATGCGAAACTGGTGTTTTGATAACCTGCTCTTGCTGAATCCAGACAAAACTAAATTGATGGTCTACGGAAGCCGCCAAATGCTCGCGAAGTTACCTGATTTTAGACTCTCGCTACTTGGTAAGAAGCTAACACCTGCTTCATCAGTGAAAGATCTCGGAGTTAAGTTTGATCCAATCCTCTCCTTCGACAATCATATCCTTTCTACTGTTTCATCCTGCAAGTCAAGTCTCTGCCAGATAAATCGCGCTAAGCATGTCTTCCCTAAAAACCTTTTAATAACTGTCATCAACGCCTTAGTATTTAGCAAACTCTACTATTGTTCCTCTCTTTGGTCAAATACTTCCTGCAGCAACCTATCCCGACTTCAAGGAGTCCAGAACTTCGCAGCACGAGTAGTGAGCAACAGAAGGAAATTTGACCACATCACCCAGATACTTAAGGAACTGCGCTGGTTTCCCGTGAAGTCACATCTGTACAGTCGCGATGCTTTATTAGCTTTCAAATGCATGAATGATTGCGCACCTGCCTACTTATCGTCTCAGTTCAAAACGAGAGGTGAAGTGAGTGGTCGCGATACTAGAAATACTAAACAGCTGGACGTTCCGTTATACAGATCAACTGCAGGACAAAGAACATTCCATTACAGAACTGTCACTCTCTGGAACAACATTAACCCTGACTTAAAACTTTGCAAATCTATTCCAAGCTTTAAAATTAAACTGAAACGGGAACTGCTTCAGCAATTTCTAGATAGTTAGCCTAAGGGCATGTTTTTCTGTTGTCGTTGTTATTGTCGTTGTTGTTGTTGTTGTTGTTGTTTTTGCTGTCGTTGTTGATGATGTTGATGTACGTTGTATGCTGCTGTTGTTAATCTCGTTGTCAAGAATTTGATGTTGTGTTTGTGTATAAAGTAATTGCGTGATCTTATTATATGAATTTAGGATCTGATGTATAATTATAGTAATTAATTGATATGTATATATATTTTTGTCACTCAAAAGCCCCTTTAGGGGAGTGTCAATAAAGTCAATAACAATTCTGTGGTCGAGGGTCGAATGTCGAGGGTCAAAAGTCGAGGGTCGAAAGCCCAGGGTCGAAAGTCGAGAGTCTTTCGTCAAGGGTTGAAAATGGAGAAAAAATTCTCTTATTAATATTTACATTTCTAGAATACTACATTTTTCGTATCTGTGCCAAATTTTAAAGGTTTTCTTGATAACCTCGGGGATATGTGTTTATTCACATATCCCCTCGTTGCCTCAAAATAACCTATACATATTTGGAAAATTGGGCGGTAAATTCGAAACGAAGTTCGTTACGATATTTCCTCGATATTTGCCATTTTTTTTATATCGATACCGATATTTTCCCAACTCGAGCAACCATAACAATATAAACATTGAATAATATATCCTGCCCTTGGGCCATTAATATAGCACCATGGAAATTTTTATATTTAGGCTTATTGGCAACAAAACCATATTCGCCTATTTAGGCTTTTTAGTAACAAAACGTCCCCAAAATTTTTCCAAATACTAGTTTGAGATAATGGAGGCTTAAAAATACTTTTTCAGACCTTTTTCGACCTCAACTTTTCAGAAAATTAAAAAAGCAAGAGAGAAATCAATCGTTCTTTAAAATATGCTTGCGTACTTTAATTATAAAGTTACCTTATATTTTACATTACCAGAATATCAGTATTAAAGTATTTTTCACCTTTTTACCGCACTTTTATATATACGATCAACTAAAAAGTTACTGAAATTACGACCGATGTTGTTTAAGAAGGGACTTTCCCAAGGAAAATTTCCTCGAATATTCTTGAAATACATAGGCAGCGTTTACACTGTACCGTTTTCGTAGCGTTCTCGTATTGTTCTTAATCCTCAAGGGAACGCAAGACAATAGTCTAGTTCTCTCGAACAATACGAGAACGCTACGAAAACGGTACAGTGTAAACGCTGCCATAGTGTATCAAAAAAGAAACTGAACAGATTTGAAATTGCTCTCCGCAATTTCGCAAAACAGCTATTAGTATCCAGTTTTTGATATACAGGGTGTATAAAAAAAAACTGAACAGATTTGAAATTCCTCTCAATTTCGCACAGCTATTACTGTATTAGTATCCAGTTTTTGATATACATATAGTTTCTTTGGGTACTTATGTAGAATGAAAAAAATTTCTCGAACTCAAATTTTTTTTCCCCCATCAAACTAAAAATGGCTTGCGCACGAAATTTAAAAGCTTTAAATTAATCGTATTTTGAGTTAATGGGTGGAAACTTTGTTGGGTTTTTAATTACTGTACAAAATTAAAGGGATGAAACTAAAGCAAATTGTCTGACATTTTGTAATTAAAAACCCAACAAATTTTCCATCTATTAACTCAAAATACGATTAAAGCTTTTAAATTTCGTGCGCGAGACATTTTTAGTTTGTTAAGAAACACCAGCATGGTTTAGACAATTTGAGTTCGAGTATTTTTTAAAAATTATTCTACATTATGGGTACTCAAGGAATCTATATATATAACAAAAACTTGATACCACGAGCTCTTCTGCGAAATTGAGAGCAATTTCAAATCTGTTCAGTTTTTTTATCCTGTCCTTGTATAACAAAATTAGTCTAAGAATTTTAGTTGCCTGACCATAATTTGCTTGTAAACAACGTAAACATAAACTTGTTCTGGAAATGTCGAGTGTCGCTGGTACTGATATCGAAAAGAACGAATACACTCAATACAGTAAGTTCACGATAAAGCTCGTGCATGAAAGAGATAACGAATGATATCTTTGACAACCTGAAGTATGTTAACGCAACGCCATGAAATCGAAGCTGCGACAATCGAGAAGCTGCGAAAACCTTTGGATCTTTTCAGAGAGCTTGAAAAACAAGATTTTGTCGGGCATGGAAGACCTAGACGGGCTCTGGAAGTTGCTAGAAATGTCCAGGAACCAGGTGCAATTTCAGAAAATATCCACAAACTAAAGCAAGAAGAATTCAAGCATAGCCTATCGAAGGGAAGATGGCTGTGAAACTCATTAGAATAACAATATAACTGATTCTCTATGTTGGTCAACGTTTATTCATAAATCTGGTCCTTTACCGTCACGTGTGTATTGTATTCTTGCCCAATTAACCAATAGCAATGTTTTAGGAAAGTCACCTATCCGTGACTCGAACAACAGGGAAATTGGAAATTGCTATTGGTGGATTTGGTCAAAATACAATACACACGTGACGGTGAAGGACCAGATTTATGAATAAACGTTGACTAACATCATGATGAGTTATATTGTTATTCTAATGAGTTTTACAGCCATCTTCCCTTCGATAGGCTATGATTCAAGGACTTTCAAGACTTTATACGAACCCTATTACCAGCGTAATGGCAGATTTAAATTCCGGGAAATAAGAACCAGTTAAAGACCAACTCTGCATGGCCTCATTTCTAATTACCTA